CCCTCAAGAAAAGAACAAATGATAACACACACCACAGCGCACTATAGCAAATAACACTCACACCTTACACACAAAAAATAAAGCAAAATTCAAACAAACCGCGCTGACTGACAACTCTTTTTATATAACTTTGTCTTCTTCAACCTCTATAGCATCACCGAATTTCCCAATTCACGCGCACCGATCTCCTAGATGCCTAAAAATGTTTTCTCTTTTTTTGTCAGGTGTAAAGATGGTGTACTTATACAGTTGTTATAGTTCCTGGCGATATGTTCTGCTTCGATAATTTCTCGAGTTAATTGGTTTCTGTTCCTGCCTAAAATTGTACAGGATGGCAAGTGAACGTCGCACCCACAATCCCGGCAGTGTATGCCTAGATGCCCTGAGTTGGCTCTGGAGCTGTTGTTGTTGTGTTCCCGGAGCCTATCGTTAAGGCATCGTCCGGTCTGACCAATGTACACTTTCCCGCACGAAAGGGGAAATGAGTACACCACTTCATCGGCACGCTCAACGAACCTGTTCTGATGGTTTTTGGTGCAGCATACTGTTCGGTCACCGCATGAAATGCTATCGTTTGTCCGCCAGGTCTCGCGCCGTGTTCCTGAGTTGGAAGTCGACCGGGTTACATCTGAAGGAGTTGACCTGCTACTCCGAAAAGTACCGCAGGCCTCTTCTATTTCTACCAGGAGGGTGGTTCAATATCTACAAGAGAATTCCTCATTTCTTTTGCCTGCCGACAAGGAAGGAGGCTTCGCTGTCATGCACCAAGAAATGTATGGGACAAAAGGTATCTCAGCGATTGAGTCAGTTTTTCAATGTCAAGAAGATGTCTCCGTGAGTAAGGCCAAAAATATGCTAGACAGTTGTGCCAGTCGTATGAACTGAAAAGTCTTTGCACCCACATCGATCGCAACAAGTTGCTAAGTCTCAGCGTATTTTTCAGTGCCAAAACCCATAAACCCGGTTATCCCTTCAGAGTCATTGTATCCGAAAAGGGAACTTGGCAAAAATCACTCGCCCTTTTTCTCAAAGAAAAGCTAAACCTTCTTACAATTGACGACCCTTTCTTAATTAAGAGTTCCAACGAGGTCATCCAATTCCTGTCACAGCAGAGTTATGATCACGTAGAAGCTTTTACCATCGACATAAAAGACCTGTACGACGGTCTTTTGCGATGTGTAGAAGAGAGTATTGATTCTTTTGGTGGCATAGCGTTCCAAAATTCTGCGGGTATTTCCGAAGACAATTTTCTACATCTACTCTCGGTTTATCTTCACTCCACCTTTATTACCTGGAAAGAAAAAAACGTATCTACAGAAGAAAGGTGTTTGCATTGGGTCGTGCATTGCCCCAGTGCTAAGTGATCTCTATCTCGCCCACCAAGACAGACTCTTGAACAATTGGCTTGACTCCACCAGAGTTGCTAGAGTATTTCGGTACGTCGATGATTATTTGATCATTCTTGACGCCGAGAACAGTAATGTTCCAACCACTATTGCCGGTGTTCTATCTACTTTTAAAAACTGCCTAAAACCACTGGAAATTACTTATGAGCTTTCGGAAGAAAGATCAATCCGATTCCTCGATCTCAGGCTCAATTTACAACACACTCATATATGCTGGAAATATGAGCCAAGGAATAAAAAACCAATTCTTCCGTACAATTCGGCACATTCTAAGCTAGTAAAAAGAGGAATCGTCAAATTATGTCTAAGTAACTCTCTTCAAAAATCTTGCGAGCATTCTATTTCAATAAGCTTCGATGCCCAAATTTCCAGATTAACATTCGCCGGATATCCCACGTCATTATTAACATCGATTGCTGAGAGCATCTTGAAAACAAAAAATACGACATCATATATCACGCCAAGAGCCAGAGAAAGATCTACGAGACCTGTCGTGCTTCCATACTTCCACAGGTTCTCCCATGGAATCAAGAAAATTGCAAACAAGTTCAACATCACTGTCGTCTTTACTGCTCCCAATAAGCTTGGCAACTTGTGTAAACAAGTCAACTCACCTGATTTCCACCGAACAGTATGCTGCACCAAAAACCATCAGAACAGGTTCGTTGAGTGTGCCGATGAAGTGGTGTACTCATTTCCCCTTTCGTGCGGGAAAGTGTACATTGGTCAGACCGGACGATGCCTTAACGATAGGCTCCGGGAACACAACAACAACAGCTCCAGAGCCAACTCAGGGCATCTAGGCATACACTGCCGGGATTGTGGGTGCGACGTTCACTTGCCATCCTGTACAATTTTAGGCAGGAACAGAAACCAATTAACTCGAGAAATTATCGAAGCAGAACATATCGCCAGGAACTATAACAACTGTATAAGTACACCATCTTTACACCTGACAGAAAAAGAGAAAACATTTTTAGGCATCTAGGAGATCGGTGCGCGTGAATTGGGAAATTCGGTGATGCTAGAGGTTGAAGAAGACAAAGTTATATAAAAAGAGTTGTCAGTCAGCGCGGTTTGTTTGAATTTTGCTTTATTTTTCGTGTGTAAGGTGTGAGTGTTATTTGCTATAGTGCGCTGTGGTGTGTGTTATCATGTGCAACCAACTCGCCCAAGCTGCTACGTTAAAAAGAACAAAACCCTCAGAAAAAAAGAAGAAACCCGTGAGAAGAGAATCCGGCAAGGAAGAAGAGAACAAAGAAGAACGTAATGCCAGAGTAATATAGTAAATATAAAGAGTGGTCACTTGGGGAACTTCGCGGCCGAGGTAAGTGCTCCATGGAGTGATAAAGACCCTTTAGGTAAAAGAACGCCATCTGTCGCACGGAAAGGCAACTGACCCCCGGCGCCATCTTGAGAGTTACCGCGTCGCTCAGGCCAGTCATTTCATTTCATTTATTTGGCTCAGGAGAGTCGGGAGTACAGCAGAAAGGCCGAAGGCCCATACCAGTTGGTCTGCAAACACCCAAACTAAAGGAGGGGGGGGGGGGGGAGGGGGGGGAGGGGAAAGCAAAAGCAACAAAATACTTTTGACAAATAAAAGTAAAAAAAAAACAAGGCAACAACAATTAGATACTTGCACAAAGGCTATGTGAGCGAATGACGGAGATGGCTAGTTACTCTATGGCAGAAGTCCTTCACTTCGTCTCGTGCCGTGGGTGGGCACAGGGTGAAGCTAGGTGGCAATGATCGCCAGTGCGTCACAGTCCTCACAACAAAAGACTGGCGATGCCTCTCAGTTCTGGCTAAGATAGGCTGCAATGAACCGGTCCGATTTTTCCTTAAAGGGAGCACAACGCCAGACTGGCTTGAGTTCAGAATCAAAAGGTTGGTCAGCAGTCGTAGGGAGGCGACCTCTCGCCGTAAGGCAAGTGGGTTCCACCCAACAGCTTGCAGTAAATCGGCCGTTCGCATTTCCCGGTAACGTGCTATGCGTGTGTCGCGCCGCCTAACCAAGGTGGCGTAGGCGGCCCGACGCTGGACGCTCTCCAGTGCCGCTACAAGGTGTCCCTGGTGGGGGCTCCATATGGGGCAGCAATACTCAAGTTGAGGAAGCACAAGTGCAGTGAAGAGATGTCTTAAGGTCTCGGGTCCAGCCCCCTTGGTTACACGGAGACAAAATCCGAGCTGCCGACGCGCCCTCGAAAGTACCTCTCCCACGTGAGCGGAGAAACGTAGCTGGGCATCCAGGGTGACACCCAACAGCTTTGCGCTTGATGTCCACCTCAGGGCAACACCATCAAGGCAAAGACTAGGAGGGGCCAGGGGTTGCCGGGCGCAGGATATCACCATAGCCGAGCACTTGGCAACATTTAGAGGGAGCCTGTTCTCAGAGGACCAAGCAGACACTGCATCAAGGTCATGTTGGAGCTGCTGTTGGTGAGCAAGGCTAGAGATCGGGTGCAGAAGAGTGACATCATCTGCATAAAGCAGGGGCTTGCAGTACAGGGATGTAACAATGTCATTGATGTAGACGTTGAAAAGTGTGGGTCCAAGCACACTGCCCTGAGGAACACCGGACAAGACCCCAACTGTATCAGACACTGCACCACGGAACACAACGCGCTGAGTTCGCTCACATAGAAAGTCTGTCAACCAGTTGAGGAGTTCGCCACATACGCCAAAAGCACGGAGCTTGCTTATGAGGATCTTATGGTCTACTCTGTCGAATGCCTGCCGGAAGTCCAACTGAACAAGCGCAGAGGGGGTACGGCCATCCAGGTACTCACTGGCAGTGTTGACGGGAACAGCCAGGGCCGACTCGCAGCTCCGACCGGGCTGAAAACCATGTTGATACACAGTGAGTAGATTATGCTGTTCGAAGTGAGCAAGCAGTTTTCTGTTTATTACACGCTCCATGGTCCTGCAAACTACGGAAGTCGTGGAGATGGGGCGGTATGATGAGGCAGTGTCAGTCGGCGCCTTGCCACCTTTGTGTACAGGCGTTACCATGGCATGTTTCCACTGCCGTGGCACCTTTCCCGCCGAGAGGAAGTTGCCAAAAAGCTGAGTAAGGACTGGGCATAATCTGGTGGAGCAGGCTCGTAGGAATGCAGGGTGAACGCCATCCGGTCCTGCACTTTGGGAAGCGTTGAGGCAGCGCAGCGCTTCTTTAGTGTCGTCCTCTGTGATCACTGGCCTGGTAGGTACATTACAGTCAGATGTTTGGGCACTGGGAGTGCCGAGAGCTAGAGGCACATCTAGGACAGCGTCGGAAGCCCATACAGAGGAAAAATGGTCACTGAACAGCTCAGCAATAGTTTTAGGGTCACTGAGAACCGAGCCGTCCCTTTCGAACTCTGGGGCAAAGGAGGACCTGCGCTGGCTCTTAATGTATGCCCAGAAGAGCTTGGGAGAGCGCGCAGCTTTTTCGGCGACCACGCACAGGTACTCCTTGTGGGCCGTATACACCAACTTTTTCAGGTCTCGTTGTGCTCTTCGTGCTGCAGCAAGGACGTCTGGACGATTTGTCTTCTTGGCTTTTCTGAAGAGTTTCCTCTTTTTGTGGGAGAGGCGTATAATATCATTGGAGATTCAAGGGGTCCTCCGACGGCCGGACAGATGCTTGGAAGGCACACAATCTGCCTCAATGGCGCTCATGATGTCCAGCCACATGTCGTAAGCTTCATCTACAGATGGAGTGTCGAGGACCAGACTCCAGGGTGCGAGATGTAGGAGGCTGTTCAGGTGCGGTAGGTCCATCCTGGAGAAGTTCCGTACCATTTTAGAATAATGGCCAGACTTCGGCAGCGTCAGGAGGCTCGAAAAGCGGATTGCGTTATGGTCGGACCCAGCCAGGCTCGGTTGGATGGAACAGTCAGTTATGAGGGGAAGGTTGCTCACAAACACGAGATCTAAGAAGGACGCTTTGCCTGTGATCGACTTGTATGAGGGTTCACCGCACACCTGAACAAAACCAGACGTTTCCATAACATCAAGGAGAGCATCGTCGTGCGGGCTCAGCGTGACAGGTGCAGAGAGGTCAGACCAGTCTATGTGAGCGTTAAAATCTCCAAAGACGCAGACACAGGAGTAGGCCGAAACGTCAACATGTGCCAGAGATTGCCCCAAGAGATCGTAGGAGGCAGCTCGCGTACTTGGTGGACAGTACACGCAGCAGAGCAACATCTTGCCCTTCCGATGTGTAACTTCGACAAAGACTGCCTCAAGGTCCTCTGACTCCAGGTCGCGCCTCCGACGGCAGGGCAGTCGATGGGGCACCATGATCAATACACCACCCCCATAAGACGCACGGTCTCTCCTATAGACGACGTGCCTGGCGGTATCGATGAGCTGACCGTCGTGGACAGACGGGTCGAGCCACGTTTCGCAAAGACCAAAGACTGTGTCTGGATCCGCTTCGACCAACGCTTGGCAAAATTGAAACGTTGGCAGTCTGCCAACGTTTCAATTTTGCAAATCTAATCACAATACGTTCGCGCTTTGTTGTGCCCATCAGATGGAGAGGGGTTCGGCTGCCCGGAAGTAGTGAAGAAACGGTATTTGTTTTGTCCTGCTGTGATGTCGAGACTAAAGTCAGCCACGATTATAGTGGCGACTGCCGGTTCGACGTGGCGAAGCCTCTTAGAATGGATGCTTGGGCGAGTTGGATATACATGTTGCAGGAGAGGCGCTAATGTAATGTAATGTAATGTTTTATTTGCTCAGGAGAGCCGCGGCACCGCAGAAAGGCAAGAGCCCGTACCAAGGAGGCCCGCGGTGCCGTGTCTAGGGATGGTGATTATGTGATGATGTAATGTACAGATGAAAGTTATGGTGTGTTAGGCCTAGCAGCAATCTTCGCGGTGATGGTCTTCGCGGTGCTGCCATGGGCTGCTTACTTCTGGTAGGCCGGTCTCAAGCGCCTGGAGAGGGCTCTTCGCGTGCCATACTTGCATACGAGCCGGCCGAATTACCGGCGGCGCAGGGAGTCCAGCACCCCCGCAGGGGTTAGCGCCGGTGTTGGCCAGGCGGCGGTCTTTACGAAAGCGGGCCTTGGGCCTTGAAGTGTCCCAGCTTGCGGTCCAGCTTGTAACTGGGCAGCGTGAGAACCCCCTGTCGATCGAAGACATGGTCTGTGGCACTGGTTTGGCTGGCTCTCTGACGATCGAAAAGACACGTCTTACGCCCAGGTGGCTTCTTCTTCTTTTAAGTAAAGTAGACTAAAGTAGACTCACTCACCCTCACCGTTTTTCTGGTGTGAGTGTGAGTTTGAATGTGAGGGTGAGTGAGTCTACTTTAGCGCTTCTCCTGCAATGTGGCGAAGCCTGTTTTACGCGGAGATTTGCAAGTGTGCCTGGGTACACAACATATGGAGTTACAATTGTTATTCGTAAAAAGTGTGCTGCGATCAGTTTTGAATACATATTCGTGTGGGAAGGCGCGTTCAGAAACGCGGAAGATAGGTAAAACTACGGCCTCGCGTGCTTGTCTGGTAGATTTAAGAAAAACAGCTGACTAATTGCAGCGTGCAGACGGCTAAGCACAATTCAAAGTGACGTGATACAATAATTTGGTAGTGAATACGTGTTCCAATTGTTTTGCGAGAATTGGTGGTTTTAGCAACTACATTCGACAAGGCGTGGGAAATTATCCGGTTGTCAATACGACTTATTGGACAATACGAATTAACATTAATTTCGTGCAAAAAATGTAAGGTAGGTAATTATTGCGGTGTGTGCACATGTTGGAGTCAGTGCACGACATGACTTAAAAACAACCCAGTGAGAATTATCATTTAATTAAATTTGGAGGTAAACACCTTCGACAGAAATATGTCTGGTTGAGTAAAATGACTAAATTAAAGAAGAATTCTCTAACCACAAAACCGTGAAAAGTACTCCCGACGTTTCGAAGCTTACTTGGCTTCTTTTTCAGGGACCAAGTATGGGACAGTCACAGCTTCAATCTTTTCGGCTTTGTACACGAGGAGACATCATTCCCTCTTTTTAATGTTTCCTCGTGTAGAGAGACAAAAAGGTTGAAGCTGTGACTGTCCCATACGACCTATAGCCACCCCTGAAAAAGGAGCCAAGTAAGCTTCGAAATGTCGGGACTCCTTTTTACGGTTTTGTGGTTGGAGAATTCTTTTTTAATGTATTTAATTTTGGCTTTTACATAACCATTCTACGCAGATCTAGCGCCATCCAGGAAAACGAAAAAGGACACTGCTTTCGCTAAACTACAGGGTGTCACAAAAGAAAATTTACGCGGTCTTTTTTACCGCAAGAATAAACTAGGCATCGCCGAACGCTCATTCTTCGCCCAAAGGTAGAACTAGAGGTCACAACCAGATGCCAAAGTTTCAGCCCGATCCGATAACTTAATCAAAAGTTATAAGTGATTTTGTGAAAATTTCAATGGGAAAATGGAGCCCATTTTTGCCTGTTTTCGGTTTCTGGTGCCATAGAGCCCCATGTGTTTGAGAGCTCCGTCGGCCGCCATTTTCCCATTGACATTTTCAGAAAATCACTTATAACTTTTGATTAAGTTATCGGATCGGGCTGAAACTTTGGCATCTGGTTGTGACCTCTAGCGCTACCTTTGGACGGAGAATGAGCGTTCGGCGATGCCTAGTTTATTTTTGCGGTAAAAAAGACCGTGAAAATTTTCTTTTGTGACACCCTGTACTTCTAGACATGCAGCCTTACCACGCGTGCAACCTGCTAGCGAGTTTGGAACGAGAATCGGTGGCCAAGTGGACTAACGCCTCCCACCTCGGAGCGTGGGGCCGAAAGTTTGCGTTCCATAACCTCCTGCGCTCGATTCCCACCCTCTGTCCGTTTTGATCTGGATGAGCTTTGTACCAGCACGCGTTAGCGTAACCACTACTGCGTGGTGCACGTTAAAGACCCCAGCTTAGCAGTTGCACTGCACTCGCTAAATTTCTAATCTACAGCTGAGAGACAGGTCGTCATTTGAGGCGTACCAACTCTAAGGCTGTGTAAAAATGCAAGCAACACAACCCACAGCAAGCTTGGCAGTCAGAGGAGTTAATGATTGGGGTTGTGGGTATAATTAGACAGCGTGTAGTTGGGCAGCCATTTTAAAGATGCGACGAGTCACTCGCTGTAGGTGAGCAATTTAGCCAGTACAGTACAACCCCTAGCTTTGGATCTTTAACGTGCACCACGCAGTAGTGGTACACGACCGCACGCCAACCATGCTCATCCAGATCGAAACGTTCAGGGGTGGGGATTGAGTCCAGGATCCTGGGTTCTGCAGCGCGCGCTTTCGCTCCACGTGCTCCGAGCTGGTGTGCGCTAGAGCCACTCGATATGGCAGCGTAGCTGCCAGAGTAGCGCCACGCTTTTCCCTGTGCCGCCTCTCACCGCGATTGGTCACAAGCGGTACCATAGCAACGAGCTGAGCTGGCTCGGTTTCCGTAACAACCGAGTGACGACTCGTCACGTGACCTCTCAAGAGCCGTGATGTCATCGGTAAGATGGCAGCGCCCAGAGCTGGTGGATGCGAATTTGTTCGGGACCCTTAGTCGTGATGTGCCGCAGCTTGTCGACGATTTAGGGCTTCTTCGTGCCTTCTGACGTAGGTATAACGTGAAGATCTGAAAGAATGATACTTTATACCCTTTCTGTGCAAGATCGCTCTAGATATTAGCACCTGTGCGACAGCATCATTAATATCGCCTTAGCGGTGCTCGGGTTTCCGGATGTGTTCGAGGATCGATAAGACATTTAGCATGCAATTTTCGCATTCTCTTAGCTTATTTGAACGCTGGAGTGTCTGAGAATCCATGCGAAATCTATGCGTCGCATGTTGGCCTTGGGGAATTTGTTTTTGCCCCAGGTAACCACATGATCACCAACTTTTGGCGAGGAAGCTTTTGCGATGTTTACGTTTTGTACTAATGAACCAGGGAACCTGGGTCCAATCCCCACCCCTGCCCGTTTCGATCTGGATAAGCATCATACCGGCGTGCGGTTGTGTGTCACTACTGCGTGGTGCACGTTAAAGACCTATAGACCCCGGCCAGGCTAGCGGTTATACTGCATTGGCTAAATTGCTCATCTACAGCGAGTGACTCGTCGCAACTTTGAAATGGCTGACCAACTACACGCTGTATAAATATTCACACAACTCCCAAGTATACTAATCAACGATTTTACGATATGCGCAGCGCAAGTTCGTCTGCTTCTTTTAGTAGGGGTTATGGTGACGTCAGAACGCCGAGCTCTGATTGGTTCTGAATAAAGAATAGTGGGTAGACCTCAATGCAGCTTGCTTTTAGGTCTACCCACTATCCTTCGATCGGAGCCACTCAGATCTCGGCGTTCTGACGTCACCACAGCCCCTGCAAAAAGAAGCAGACGAACTTGCGCTCCACATAGCTTTTGGGATAAAATTTTCGCATTTTTCAAGCTTCCTTTGAAAGTCTGAATTTCTGAGAATCATTACGAAAGGTATACGGCGCGTGTAGGGCCTAGGGGAAATTGTTTCAGCCCTGGGTCACCGAATAATCGCAGCATTTTTTTAGCGAGGAAGCTCCTGCTATCTTTAACCTTTTTTACTAATCGCCAATTTTACGAAGTGGCAGTTCTGAAGCTTTTGATATAACTTGCTTTCGTTGCAATAGCTTGCATTTGATCGCAGTGTTTTTTGGTTTGTTTTTCAAGTGAAAAACTGGCGTTTGCTCAAGTGACGTGTATGAAATGTTCTTCTATATGAAAATGCATCAACACATACTATTAAACTTAGATGCTCAGAGGTGTGTTCGTCTTTGTAATTAACAAGTTACAGACGTATTTCTTTCTTACGAGTGTAATATTTATTTTCTGTAGCTGGGCCCGTTTTGTGCTCCTTAATGTCAGTGTGCTATGACGTTATTATCATGTGTGTATGGTTCTAAATATCCTCTTTACCATGCCCACAAAGGCCGAAATGACGTCAGCCGACCCCAACTCACGCATTGGACACGAAAAATGCGTCGCTCGGATGTATGCGCTCGTCGCCAATCAATTCGTCCATGGATATTTGAATTCGCGTTCCTGGCGAATGAGTGCCCTGACGGAACTTATCATTACTTGCGAATGCCAAGTTCTACGGTGTGCTTAAAAAGCACGATGAAAGCTCGGGGTCATCGCACCGGTGTCCTAGCATGTCACGACTGCGTGATTTCACAGTTCTCTTCTGAGTTGGGGATTACAGGTAAGGAAGAAGAAGTTTAAAAATAATTTCGTGGCCCCTTTAACACGGATACGTGTGCTACACCAGATAAAATTATTGACTTTTTGAATGTCGGTAAACTTCCGAAGACCATTTGGCCTGTCGGCAAGAACACCTCATATCCGGCGTCCGTCTCTTTTGATGGCGTCAACAGTTCTCCTTTTTGGAGAACTGTTGACGTCCGTCC